CTTCCTTCCTTCCTTCCTTCCTTCCTTCCTTCCTTCCTTCCTTCCTTTTTGTAGCCAAGCCACTCTGGGCAACCCCATTTATGGAAGGGAGTTCATTTACTTATTAGATTACAGTAGATAATCTCTGATTAGTTTCCAACCATTATTTCTTGTCCTGCCCTCTGGTGCTTTGGAGAATAATTTGACCCCCTCTTCTTTGTGGCAGCCCCTCAAACGCTGGAACACTGCTATCATGTCACCCCTAATTCTTCCTTTCTTTAGACTCGCTAACCAAACCCAAAACCTGCAGCCATTCTTCATGTGGTGTAGTCTCCAGGCCTTTGGTCATCTTAGTTGCTCTTTGCTGAACTTTTTCCAAAGTCTCAACATCTTTTTGGCAGTATGGTGATCAAAATTGATTGCAGTATTCCGGATATGGACTTACTAGGGCTGTGATGGCGAACCTATGGTACACGTGTTACAGGTGGCACGCAGAGCCATTTGTGCCGGCACACAAGCTGCAGGCAAACTTATCTCACTGCGCATGTGCGCACCTCCCAGCTGATTTTTGGCGGGTTGAGCCCTTTTTCGGCCTCCCAAAGGCTTGAGGAAGCCTTCTGCAGGCTTCTGCAAGCTTTGTAGGCCGAAATCTAGCCCCATTTCGTCACTTCCAGTATTTTCGGAAAAACAGGAAGTGACAAAACGGGGCTAGATTTCAGCCTACAAAGCTTGCAGAAGCCTGCAGAAGTCTTCCTCAAGTCTTTGGGAGGCTGAAAAAGGCCTCAAACCAGCCAAAAATCAGCTGTGAGGTGCAGTGCAGATAAGGGGATGGCGGGGAGTAGGGGGGATGGAGGATTGCGCGTGCATGCATAGGGGACATGGGGAGGGCTCATTGCCTTCTGGGTGCTGGCACATGAGTGCCAGCATGCAAGCGTGCGCTCTATTTTTGGCACAGGAGCCCAAAAAGTTTAGCCACCACTGTACTAGGGTTTTATAAAGTGGCACCAACGAATTTATCAATTGCAATGATTCACTTAACAGCTATGGCAAGAGAGGTTGTAAAATAGGGCAAAACTCACCTAACAAATGTCTCACTCAACAATTGGGTCTCAATTGCGGTCATAAGTTGAGGACTACCTGTAGCGGTTGATGTATTAAGTGCAAAAATTCTCTTTTTCCTTATTTCTTGAACTGGAATGTTTGAGATGCATGTCGGATTTCCAGCTTTGAGATGCATTGCTCTGTTTTGCACAACTGCAGAATGATTGCCGAGATTCTTACTCTACGCAGAGCAGCCTGCTGTTGGCCAAGATCCAGGAAGTCAACCTGTGCTTGAAAAGCTTACTCACTTTTTCTGGAAAGGTCAGTAGGCCTGAAGGGTGGGATGAGTCTGGGTGGTGCAGTGGTTAGTGTGCAGTAGTGCAAGCACTCCTACTATAATTTGGCAGTTCGAATCTCACCTGGCTCAAGGTTGATTCAGCCTTCCCAAATTCCAAGGTGGGTAAAATGAGGACCCAGATGGTTGGGGGCAATAGACTGGCTCTATAACCCACTTAGAGAGAGCTGGAAAGCACTGTGAACCAGTATATAAGTCTAAGGGCTATTGCTATTGCCATTAGAGAATACAGAACTCAGGTAGTCCTCTACTTACAATGGTTTGTTTATTGACTGTCCAAAGTTACAGTGGCATTGAAAAATGTGACTCATGACCGTTTTTCACACTTACAACAACCATTGCAGCTTTTACACCATCATTGTGACCAACATTCAGATGCTTGGCAACTGGTTCATTTTTATGACGGTTGCAGCCCCGCTTTGCAACCCTCTCACAAGCAAAGTCAGTGGGGGAGCTAGATTCACTTAACAACGGTGTCACTGAGCTGTGGTGGTGCAGTGGTTAGAGTGCAGTACTGCAGGCCACTTCTGCTGACTGCCGGCTGCCTGCAGTTCGGCAGTTCGAATCTCTCCAGCGTCTCAAGGTTGACTCAGCCTTCTATCCTTCTGAAGTGGGTAAAATGAGGAGCCAGATTGTCGGGGGTGATAGGCTGACTCTGTAAACTGCTTAGAGAGGGCTGTATATAGAGGTGGGATTCTATCGTTCAGACCGGTTCTATAAAACCGGTTATTATGATTCTGCACAGTTCGGAGAACGGGCAAATCATGCCCCTGGCTGGCCCCTCCCCTCACAGTCAGTCCTTATCGTGCACGGTCGTGCACATGCCTGACATCGCCTGCTGTGTTCTCTCCCACTCAGTCACTCCTTAAGGTATTTCTTCCCCCCCACAACGATCAGCTGTTCCGATGTTCAGCTGTGCCAGGATCCCCCTCGCTGTCTTACTGCTTCGCTCAGGAGGCTTCCCTGAGGCCCAGAAGGCAAAAAAAGGGGAGGGTGGTGCTGCAAAAAAGAAAGAAAGAAGCCACGCCCATTCAGTCACATGGCCATGCCCACCTAGCCACGCCCACCTAGCCACACTCACAGAACCGGTTGTTAAAAAAATTTGAATCCCACCCCTGGCTGTAAAGCACTGTGAAGCTCTATATAAGTCTAAGTGCTACAGCTATTATGCACTTAAGAACTGCAGTGCTTCACTTAACAATTGTGGCAAGAAAGGTCATAAATTGAGGCAAAACTCCCTTGACAAATGTCTCGCTTAGCAACATAAATTTGGAGTCCATTGCAGTTGTAAATCCAGGATTACCTGTAACAGATTTGGCAGGACCTTGGAGGTCTTCCAGTCCAACCTACTGCTCAAGACAGGAGACCTTCGACTATCCAGGTCAAATGGTTGTCTGGTCTCTTCTTAAAAACTTCCAGTGTTGGAGCATTCACAACTTCTGGTGGCAAGCGGTTCCACTGGTTAATTGTTCTCACTGTCAGGAAATTTCTCCTCAGTTCTAAGTTGCTTCTGTCCTAGATTAGTTTCCATCCAATACTTTTTTGTCCTGCCCTCAGGGGCTGTGGAGAATACATTGACCCCCTCTTTTCTGTGACAGCCTCTCAAATATGGGAAGACTAATATCATGTCACCCCAAGTCCTTCTCTTTGTGAGATTAGACTTCTCTAGTCTATGCAACCGTTCATCATACAGTTCAGAATTTGGGTGATTGATCATCAAGGCAGACCTACAGTATAGACCAGATGCAGTGGTGGGATTCCATTTATTTACTACCAGTTCTGTGGGCGTGGCTTGGTGGGCATGATGTGGCTTGGTGGACGTGGCTTGGTGGGTGTGGCAAGGGAAAGAGACTGTAAAACTGTGATGACGAACCTATGGCACACGTGCCACAGGTGGCACGCAGAGCCATTTGTGCTAGCATGTGAGCTGCAGGCAAACTTACCTCACTGCGCATGCGTGCGTCTCACAGCTGATTTTTGGCCCGTTTGAGGCCTTATTCAGCCTCCCAAAGGCTTGAGGAAGGCTTCTGCAGGCTTCTGCAGGATTTGCAGGCCAAAAACTAGCCCTGTTTCATCACTTCCTGTTTTTTCCAAAAATACTGGAAGTGACAAAACAGGGCTAGTTTTCAGCCTGCAAAGCCTGCAGAAGCCTTCCACAAGCCTCTGGGAAGCCGAAAGAGGCATCAAACTGGCCAAAAATCAGCTGTGGGGTACAGTGCAGGTAAGGGGGTGGCAGGGCTGGGTGGGTGGGGATTGCGCCCGCAGGCATAGGGGGCGTGGGGAGGCGTACATTGCCTTCTGGGTGCTGGCCCACAAGCACGAGCACGCAAATGCGTGCACAATTTTTGGCACAGGAGCCCAAAAAGGTTAGCCACCACTGCTGCAAAATCTACATTCCCTCCCCACCCCACTAACCTGCTTTCCAGCTCTGTTCTCCTGTGCAGGGAAACCAAAGAAGACCCAGCTGATCAGCTGGGACTCGGGAGGCAGAGAATAGATGTGGGCAGGGCCAGTCAGAGGTGGGATTTGCCGGTTCTGCTAACTACTCTAAATTTCTGCTACTGGTTCTCCAGAACTGGTCAGAACCTGCTGAATACCACGTCTGGCCAGGTGACATACAAAGGTAGACTTCACTTACCAAGCACCTTCTTTCGTGATAATTTGAAGTTACGATGGTGCTGAATAAGTAACTTTAGGACTGGTCCTCGTATTTATGACCTTTGCACTGTCCCCAACTGCCCATCTTTCCAGCCAACTCTGGATGGCTTCCAATGACATTTTAATTGTACTATGTTCTTAGAACTTTTTGCAAACGTATGCACAGGGCTGTGGTTTCCCCTGAATAGATATTTGTGGTCAGAATTTGGACAGCAAAACAGCACTTGTTCGTGTTAGGTACAAGTGTGGTGGTGAGTCACACATCAACTGTGATATATTTTGCCCCCGCTCTTCTTTGCAGTCCGAAGTGCCACTCAAAAATTGGGGGGTTCCCTTTTCCTCGCCAGAAAATCCATTCCACCAGCAAGCCATCGTCGTGCTAAAGGAACAGAACCACCTGTTGACCAAGGTAACTATCAAGGCTGGCAGATCTCCTTTGGATGGGAAAGGGGACATTTGATTTTAATTGTGTTTGTAACTGTGTTTGTAATGTGATTCTCAACCAGGTCATGATTGTCCCAAAAGTGCTTTTTTCAAGAGGTAACTGGACTTTTGTTTTTTTTGAAAATGCTTTGCTTCTCTTTCAACAAGTTTCTTCGCTTCAGTTCACTGAAGAAGCTTCTTGGATGAGAAGTGACCTGTTTTCAAGGAAAAAAATCAAGGAAGTCCAGTAGCCTTTTGGAAAAAGCACCTTTGGGACATTTATAAGGAGCCAGATTGATGTACTAGAAGTGGAATCCAGGGATCCAGCACTGTCCCACAAAGAAGGTGTCCTTGTGGGTTTTAGGACACACACTTTGTACAGTATTAAAGGAAATCACCTGATCCAGAATGTGTGTGTGTGTGTGTGTGTGTGTGTGTGTGTGTGTATTTCAAATAATAAAATGATATGTATGTATGTATGTATGTATGTATGTATGTATATATGTATAATTTTATTATTTGAATTTTTGGTTGTTGCTTATTTCCCCCTAACAAAAATTAGTACTTTCCCACCATCTGGAACAGTTAGGAGAAATCAAAATTCCAACCTATTGAGAAAATTTTGATGGACTGTGATACTAAGTAATCTGTCAATAGCAGGTAGAATTTAATATCTCCCCTTGTCATAAATGTTCTTTGAAAATCATTTATAGTTCATTTATAGTTCAATCTATTCTTCCCCTGTAATATGATTTGCATTTGAAATATTAATTGGTCATCTCTGATTAAGTTTGAACCACTCGACTAGCTATCCTGAATTTTATATTGGAATCCATGATAGTAGTGTGTCTGTGTGTGTGTGTTTGAACATGGGTATTTCATGGATAACAAATAATTTGCTGTAAATTATTTTAAGTGAAGGACTACCTGTGATCCATAATAAACAAACAGATTCTGATTGTTTGCAGCATTTAAAAATTCAGCTTGCATCTATGATGTGAGATTGTTTTGTGAGGTCCTCTGGCAAGATGTGTCTTTTAAAAATATAATATTTATATAAAAGCACCAATAATTGCATGAGCCTCATTCAGTGGGGGCCTTCTGATCTGGTTGAAAAGAGAAACATGCAACAAAGAGACAACTCCATTGTCTCTTCCCTCACATACATCCTGGCAATGGTAGGATTCAAATAATTTAACAACTGGTTATCTGCCCTAATGAGTTCTTCCAACAACCAGTTCACCAAACTGCTCAGTAAGTTAACAACCGGTTCTCCCCAAGTGGTGCGAACTGGCTGAATCCCACCACTGCATCATGGTATGAAAGCATAGTGGAGGGTGGAAGGTTTGTGGCCCTCCAGATGCTACTGAGCTGCCGTTCCCATCCTCCTCATTCTAGCTGTGTAAGATTGATGGGAGTTGGAGTTCATCAATTCTGGAATGACCAATGTTTGTCAAGGGGACCACTTGAATTGGGAAGTAACCAGCCACAAGCTCCTTCCAAGTGCAGGGAGGCTCTAAATTTGTCAGATGAATGAAGAAATTATGCTATTCATGTCATAATCATTGATGTCTACTTGGTTAACAGGAGGTGTCCCAAAAATGCCATCGCATTGCGCAACTGGAAGAAGAAAAGGCATCCCTTTGCAAGCAGCTGAAGGAGAGCTGGGGTTGTAAACTCCCCAGCCACAAGGAGTTCACCTTCATTTGACAAGAAGCTGAAGGGTGGGTGACCATAAACTCTTTGACACTTCTGCTTCAGTTGGCTTTGCTTAGGACATCACTTTTTCTGGAGACTCCAGACGACGGGCCACATCAAGTTTTTTTATTAGGAAAGAGGCCAACAGCGTTCCTGTTCCTCTTTGTCCTCTATTTGCAGAGGGCCAGGTTTGTTGGAGAAACATCTCGAGATGGTTGGCGATTGTTAGAATGGGAAAGGTGAACATGAGGCTCTTGAAGTTCATGAAAAATAACCGGTGGAAGGGGATGGATCAGGAGGTGAATCAGCGGTGCAAGGCAATCAAGACAAGGCTCACAACTTGCTGCAAATTTATGGCTGTAAGTGAAGGACTACCCTGTGGTCCTCCCGTGTTCCAACATGTTTCAGATTCTTACTTCAGCTAGGAGGTTGGAAACCTTCTCTTACAACAGCTTCAGGACTTTGCCATCTGCAGCTCTGGAGCCCAGAATTCACATCATGGGAGCACATTTTTCCCTAGGATACCTGTGCTGAAGTAACTTCCCTCTGTATTATTATTTTTTTTCCAACCCAGAAAAAGAGCACATACCCATCAAAGGCCTTTTCATTCAGAGACCAAGATGTGTTGATGATCTTGGTTTACAAATTTTGCAATCTCTCCTTTGATATAACCTGAAAATATCTAGCCGTAGTTCTGTTCCTCCGATTTATATTTATACCCTAGTGGGGCTGAGTGACTACAGTATTATTTTTCGGTAGCTAAGGGAAATGAAAGCAAGAGATATTTATTATGACTTAAAAAAAGGACTATGAAGCATGGCCCACATTTCCTTTCCACTTTTTTGGAATATTGCTTCTATAATCCAAATGCTTCCTGATCAGGGTATTTTTTTCAACTTGGCAGTTTTAAGATGGATGGATTTCAACCCAGCGTGTTGTCTGGGGAATTCTGGGAGCTGAAGCTCACACATCTTAAAGGTGCTAAAGTTGAGAAACACTGTTCTAGATCAATCCTGCACTTGTAGGTATGTTTACAGTTTAATCATATTTTTTCTGTTTTTCTGATTCCATCTGATATTTTTGTGTTCTTTTGTTCTTGAAACAATTCCTTTCTCATGCCCTTGTAAAGTTCCGTTTCTTTAGTTATTTATTTGGTCACAGCCCACAGCAATGTGTTCACCCTCAATGGGTCACAATCAATAATTTGCAATAAAAGGGCAGGCTTAAAAGTAAGTGGTTAAAAACTAAAACCACAAGATCGTGTCTAAAACCTGTGTTCCAAGCAGAAGAAATAAAATGGACAAGGAATTAATAACTAGAAGCTTGCATTCACAAAATTAAAAACACAAAATTCCTCTTAAACAGTTGTCTTTCTAATAACTTCCTAAAAACTAATGAGATGAGGGCTGCTTAAGTTTCACAGAGAAACGTATTTCAAAGTACTGGTGCTCCAACATTGGTGAGCCTATATCCACCTCAATTTCCTCAAATTGATAAATTTTTAGATTCTCCTAGAACAGGGCTGTCAAACTCCTGGCTTGCGGGCCGGATGCATTACCCACTGGCCACGCCCACGCCCAGTTTAGCGAAGTGGGGGAAAGTCCTGATACATCACGTGACACCGCCATGACAACATGAATTTGACACCCCTGTCCTAGAACTTTTGCGCCAGGCAGATTGAAATTGGGGTGGTAGAGGAGCTTGCCCTGGGAGATAGTTCAAATAATATATATATATAAAATACAAAATAAGAACAGCCATGAAACTAAGAAAAAAGAATTATACAGGATCCTTCCTTCTGATTGCTAGAGGAGCCTAGCTAAAAAATAACCTGTTACTGGCATTCCCAACTACTAGGATAAGTTGATAGGTAGAACCTCAATCTCACCCGCACACCGTAAGCACCTGGAGCAGAAGTCTCCAACCTTGGCAACTTTAATCCTGGCAGACTTAATCCTAGCAGACTCCCAGAATTCCCCAGCCAGCAAATTCTGAGAGTTGAAGTCCGCCAGGATTAAATTTGCCAAGGTTGGAGACCCACGTTAGCCAGTGTTGGATGGTCCAAATCTTTGATTTTTCAATAGTGGTCTTCTTGTTTTCAAATTGTTGGGAGGCAGAAGTACCCTTTGTAGGAAAGAGCATTTGAAAGAGTCGGAATCCTAACTCCAACCTACGATTGGCAACACTAGTTTTATAACAGCTGCCAAGGCAGTAAAAAGGGGGTGGGGGAACCACAATTCTGCAGTGGAACCCTCTTAGCATACAATAGATCCTAGATCTTTTTCCACAATTGTTCTGAAGTGCAATTCGACTCACCTTGACTTAGCAAAAATCTTCCTGACATGTTTGTCGCCCCTACGATCGGTTTCCGGCCTGGCCCTATCAACTCTCCTGGTTTTTCTGTAGTTACGTGAGTTGCCTTAGGCATAATGGGTGTTGTTGTTATTAGTTGCAAAGTCATGTCCAACCCATGGACAACGTCCGTCCAGGCCTTCCAGTACTCTACCATCCTGCGGAGTCCACTTAAGCTCACGCCGACTGCTTCAGTGACTCCTTCCAGCCATCTCATTCTCTGTCGTCCCCTTCTTCTATTGTTCCCTTCGTCTATTGCCCTCATAATAGCAATAGCACTTAGACTTATATACTGCTTTATAGTGCTTCACAGCCCTCTCTAAGCGGATTACAGAGTCAGCCTATTGTCCCCAACAATCTGGGTCCTCATTTTACCCACCTCGGAAGGATGGAAGGCTGAGTCAACCTTGAGCCTGGTGAGATTTGAACTGCCAAATTGTAGGCAGCTGACTGCAGAAGTAGCTTGCAGTACTGCACTCTAACCACTGTGCCACAGAGGCTCCTTGGTAAGGGTCCCACAAGTCGGATGTCTGCCAGTGGTCTTTGGATGCTGTCTAAGTATGGTGAGAAAGACTATTTAATTCCAGTACAGTGAAGGGCAATTGAAGGTTCTCTCCTTCCTGGACAGGTGATCAAATCATAGGAAGAACTACATAGTTACCACAGCACTTATTCATGCTGTGCAACTAATGGAAGACTCTAGATTCCTTCTGTGGCAAATCATGGAGAAAACTCCTGGTGCATGGAATTAATTATTTTTGTGGAAAGTCCAACAGCTACCTGTCAACCATGCTTTTTAAACTGGGGTTCCTGGCTGTGCAAGGTGACTTGAGAATCTGAAGAGAGGTAATTATTTGCCTATTGATTTTACGTTCTGCACCACTGGCCCATCTCACTGTCAGGCCCAGCGCACCGAGCGAGTCATTTTCAAATCAATCCTCGGTAAACTTTCTAGTTGACTTCTCCTTCATTAGCCGCTGCCAACTCCTTTGCTGGCTTGAATAAAAACCACCTGAGGAAGAAAAATCCCAAACCAGTTCAGAGTACAATATAGCATTACAGGTAGTCCTTGGCTTGCAACGTCAATCGAGCCCCAAATTTCTGTCGATAAGCGTAGAGGTGGTATTCAGCAGGTTCTGACGAGTTCTGGAGAACCGAAAGCGGACATTTTGAGTTGTTCGGAGAACCGGCAAATACCACCTCTGACTGGCCCCGCCCACATCTATTCTCCACCTCCCGAGTCCCAGCTGATTGGCTGCGTCTTGTTTGGTTGCCCTGCACAGGAGAACGGAGCTGGAAAGCAGGCTAGCGGAGTGGGGAGGGAATGGAGATTTTACAATATCCTTACCCTGCCATGCCCACCAAACCACACCCATCAAGCCACGCCGACAGAACCAGTAGCAAAAAAAATGTAATCCCACCACTGGTTATGTGAGACATTGGCAAAGCGAGTTTTGCCCCATTTTACGGACCTTGCTTGCCGCAGTGTTTAAGTGGACCGCTGCGGTTGTTAAGGGAGTCACACCGTTGTTATGTGAATCTGGCCTCCCCATTGATTTTGCTTGTCAAGAAGGTCGCAAAAGGGGATCACACGATCCCAGGATACTGCAACAGTCGTTAAGTGTGAATCAGTTGCCAAGGTCTGAATCACGGGGGGTGACACACAGTCGTAAATGTGAAAAATGGTCATAAGTCACATTTTTCAGTGCCGCTGCAACATTGGTCACTAAATGAACTGTTTTAAGTTGATTACCTGTATTAGAGCTTTCTCCTTTCCCTTCCACCAGGTCCCCTAACTATTGAGCAATTATTACCTTCTTTTTAAAAATAATTTTGTATTTATTCTGAGGTAAACCTCTTGAAATATGTTGAAATGAAGGAGTCATTAAAACATTAATGTATGTGAATGTCTTCAAGAATGACCTTCAAGAAGAGATTGGACTGCCATTTATCAGAAATGGTGTAGGGTCTTCTGCTTGGGCAAGGGGTTGGACTAGATGACCTATAAGATCCCTTCCACCTCTGATTATCTGTTATCTTTGAACTGGTTCTTAGGGCTGCATAAGGAACAATGGGTGGTGACAAAGTGATCCATGTCTTCTCTCATGCAAACTTCCCTGACAGAACAATAAATATGAAAGAAGCAAATGCTTTGCCTTGAATTGAGATTCACTTTATTGAGTTCAAATTTCCAAAACGCCACTTACATAAATCTCTATTTTCAATACTCGCAAAAGGCGCTCGCCATAGACAGTACAAACCAAAACAGAACATCTGGAAATAAAAAAATAATTTGCATACAAATATAAAGACATTTGTCAGTAGGCAAAATATATATATATAGATCAGATTTATTAGGAAAGGCTTCAGGGAATGGGAATAGATTCGTGCAAAGAGGCATCAGCTGGAGACTACATAAACATCCCGATTAAGGCTTAAAAAGGCCAGAAGAGGATCAGGTCTAAGGCTTTTTTTTTTAATTCATTCAGAGCTGTTGAAAAAGATTCAGGGTGAAAGCTGTTGCTGAATTCTACTTGCAGGGACATTGCCTGTGGAGAAACAGATAGTCCTTGACTTATGACGGGTTGTTCAGTGACTTAAAAATTACTCTGGGATGGATCTACTCTGGGATCCTTAGGACCCAGGTTTGAAGTTTCTCTGGTCACGTGCAGGGGTGGGATTC